ACTGAGTCTGTTAGCCAGTTGAGTTGAATTTAATGTGTGACACACGCATCTAACTGCCTTCACGTGCTCTCACGTTACACCTTTAATTTCTCATGCTAAAAAACCAAGCCCCCTCATGGGCAATAGTGGGACATCCTCCACGCACTCACATATGGAATAATGCAAGAGTTGGCAGACCTGCATCTGGCTAAGTTCTACTTCCTGAAACAGGGGCACCAGAGCTTTTTTCCAAACAGATCAACTCACAAGGCATTCAGTCACACTACAGACCACTGCAAATATATGGAAAGAATGGGTGAACCTGGTCTTGGTCCTCTGTAAATGTCACTTTGCAGGACATTTATTATTTTTTACACTCTTATTCCTCTCCATGATTGATGTCAAGTTGTGGTTATTGCTGTTGTTAGCCTCAAGGGCAAAATGCCGATTATCACTTGTAAGTCGCTTTGGACAAAAGCCTCTGCTAAATACATAAACATAAACAAACACTAGAACCCAGTCAGTTTTGCCAGTATTAAGCTGAGTCTTGATGTGCTTGTAGCTCACTTATTTACTCATTTTCTGAACGCTAAAATAATATGCAAGATCACCCATAATATAACCAAAACAGCCTCAATCATGTCCCAGCACAAGATGATCTTGGTTTAAAAATGCTGTTTGAAAGGCTGGTAGTAAGTTATATTCCTTCATGGATTACTATCCCAGTTTAATTTAATCCAAAGGCAGAGCAGTTTTTTTGTATTTTAACTTTCAACCGGCGGAGATGAGTGAAGAAATGGCTGTGAAGGCATATTTTCTCTCCACCTGTTTTTTCTCTGGCTCTTATGTTCCAGCAACAGAGGAATACTTGTCTGCCTTAATATGACTTTGCATTAGCCTAGTGAACTAGTCTAAACTCTTGCTTTGCAAAGTTAATAACATATTTATTTAGTCTGGCTTGCCAGGCTAACTTTGCACGGTGTCTTAGATTCATTCATTTTGAACAAATTTTCTTACTAACACAGTATCAAAGAGGCAGATTTCCACAGTTTTTGGCAACATTGACAGCCCCATGTCATTTCAGATTCCCAATAACTTTATAGTGTCTTGGTTAAAATGTGGTGCATGTATCACCCACCATTCTGAAGAGTTTTGCCTTTAACTACAATGGTAAAGCATTTGAAAATGGCTGAAAAGTTATAAAATGAATCTGTGTGCTTCCACCCAAACCACCAGTCTGAACTTCACATATTATAGATTGCAGCAAGTTGAGTCCAAAGCAAACACCAGAAAATTACTGGTTCTATTTAAACACTGTCCTGTGAGCTTGAGTTTCATTTCAGTTACAGAAAGACTTTCTGGTAGCTCAGATTTCTATTCTGATTTTGATCTTTATCTGCCCTGATTTCTGGTCTGGTTTCTTATCTGATTTCTGATATGATTTTTACTCTGCTTTCTACTCTGACTTCTGATCATATTTTTGTTCTGATTACTACTCAGAATCTGCTCTGATTTCTGCTACTCTGCTATTATTCTGCTCTGATTTATGATCTGATTTCTGGTCCAATTTCTGGTCTAATTTCTGCCTGATATCTCCTCTGACATCTGATAATTTTTACTCAGCTTTATGTTATGATTTCTGCTCTGATTCTCATTTGATTTCTTCTGTGATTTCTGGTCTGATTTCCAGATCTGATTTCTGGTCTGATTTCCAGAGGTGGAAAGAGTTCTAAAATTTCCTACTTAAGTACGAGTACCAATACTTTGATAATTTTTTATTCACGTACAAGTAAAAGTACTTGCCTAAATTTTTACTCAAGTAAAAGTAAAAAGTATCGTAAATAAAATGTTCTCAAAGTAAAAGTTACTTAGTTACATTTTTGTCAGCATAAAGATGGCTACATCAGTGCAAAATCACAACACCAGTTCACAACACGCTTGTGTGTGCGCGCACACACACACACACACACACACACACACACACACATGCACAAACAGTTTGACGGAGGGATGTCTATCCAATCAGTGAGAACAGGACATGCACATTGATTGGATGAGGTTTTTCTAGGATTGTACGTTTCAATTGTGATAAAAATAATGTTTTATTTTTATTTTTATTTTTAGATGCCATCAGTATGTGAGGTATCTCAATGTTTTCAAGACAAAACTCTAACATGAGACTGTGCTCTAACCTGTCATATAACAAGCCAAACAAAATTCAAACATTTCTAATGGACCGTATGACAGCTGTTAACGTTGGCCCGGCCCTGCTTTACCTCTACAACACAATTCCTGTATCCGTGTCCATCCTGGAGCTCCTCTCTGACTTTCATGCTTATTTAGAGCAGCTGATTTTTAAAGTATGCAGAGTTCATCCTTGGTAGTGGGTTCACTCACTTATTTAACCCTTCACCATTGAAATCAGTTTGTTCATTCCAATCCTCCTAAATAACCCTCCGATCGTCCAACTGGAATCTACATAAACATTTTTCTGTTGACAGTTAAGATTTGGTACAAAATAGCAAACTTATTTGGCGTTTGAAGTAGTAAGATTACTGCTCTTCTTGTTTCGACATCACAGACATGATGCTTTCATTAGACAAACATGCTGACAGATACCTGGTCAGGTAAAACTAAATCAACCACACAGATGCAGCTCACAGCTGAAGCTTTTGCAGCTATCTTTATATGCTGAAATAATGTACTTTTTTTAACGTAACATTTGCAGTAAAATATTCAAATGAAAACTGTTTAGTGAGTAGTTTATTTTATTTATAACCAGCTTTCTTCATGCTTCATTCTTCCTGCTAGTATTCAACATAGCAGCAGCAAAGCTTGATAAAAATATAAAACAGCTTATCTGATGTCACCAAAAGCCACATCTCTTTTATTTAAAACATATTTTGTGACAACATCTTGTCAGAAAGAATAAAGATGATGTAAAAATCACTGTTTTAAGTATGCTTCACATTTATATAAAGGAGAAGGCAAACATTTGGATAAACAGTCACTGCAGAGGGTTTGCAATTCCTCATTATAAACATTTAGATAGTTTTGAGCTGTTAGCATTTGTGTTTTATTTATTTTTTTATTTGGGAACAAAGTAGGCCTACTGTCACGCGTGCTGGTGAGTGAAGCGGAGGCAAGGATCCAAACGCAGGTGAAAAGGCAGGCAGGCAGGCAGGCAGGCAGGCAGGCAGGCAGGCAGGCTTTACAAATGTTTCAATATAAAAACACGCTGGACAACTGAAGCAATGAACCGACAAAACACACAGAACTGAGAGGGTTTAAATACGTGAGGGCTGGGAGCTTGGGTGATTGGAAAACAAGAGGCAGGTGGGAGCAATTAACAGAGACACATGACTGAACAGAATGGGGAGACAGGACACCTACTAGTTGTCATTGGATGATTAGTGCTTAATAGAAGATCTAAGGGACTTGTTCCAAATATTTTGTTCTGTCCAAAAATGTGTCACAAACTGCTAATGAATAATATGCAGGTTAACCTGCATATGCAGGTTTTATTTATAATGGTCACAACAGTGGACAGGTGCTCAAGCACAGCTGTTGAAGACTTTATTGCATTCGAGCCCCTCCATTTGGATTTCAGCATGTCAAGCCAACATATTTCATGTTCAGAATGCACGCTTTCCACTGAGGTGGACATGTAATAAATTATTTGTAAATAATAAAATGTTACAAAAAATATTTGTTGAAATTTGTTTCATTCACACCTAAAGATGAATGAAAAAAATGGTAAAGAAAAATCATGGTTGAAGATTTCATAATTCATGCATCAAAGGGATAACTACATCATGGAAGCCATTAAAAATCAAAAGTCAGAAAATAATAGTAAAACAGAAGAAACCAATAGGAAATGTAAAAAAAATAAATAAAGACTAACTGTTTTTTTTTTCATTGGCGCAGTGGATAAATTCCTATTTAATACAAAGTCTCTTTCAAAAACAATAATATGAATCCAGAGGAATAAAAGCCCCGCAGATTTCCATGATGACTGAGAGTTTGCACCAACATGAGGCCATGGGCTGATAGAGGACAACTGCAGCTAACATGATGTTTCTGCTGGTTTTTTGGTGATCTTGTGAAACACCCTCTTGGTAGTAACATGTCATTTGCACGGCCTTCTTTGCTGGCAGCTTTGGGGAGGCCATGAAACTCCTTCAGAATAAAAAAAATAGAAACTGCAGAGAGTAAATGAGGTCAGATTGGAGCTTTAGTTGTTGAAGCTGCAACGTGTCCACATTACAACCAGACTGCTTTGTGGATCTGCCAGATTTTTTTCTCTTTCCTTCTCCTTCTGTCTCTAACCTGATGGGGCAGCCCTTTGTCAGTTGGAAAAGGTGAATTTAAATGAAGAGATTATATTATACTTAAAAAACAACGAGAGTACAAAGTAATTGAGTTTATTAGATATGTATAGTGAGATTTGTTTTATTAACAGATCCTGATTTCATCCTGTTCTGTCCACATGTTTGATACTGGGAGAATGACTAAGAACATAAAAGAGAAATAAGATAAGAAACAGGAAGTAGATACACTTTTATTACTTGTTTGTAAAATATTAGTTAGTTTAGAAATAACTAAACAGTCACAGATGACCTTCTCCAGCCATTAGTCTCTGTGCGTAAAATACGCACACTGATGCACACATGAAACTGAATCGTTTCTTTTAAAGTCCCTTTCTTTTTTAAGACATAAAATATTTACAGACAACGACTTCCTTAGCTGACTTAATAAAACTCCAGGAGTTGGTAAAGCTCGTGGACTCGGAGTCTCACGTTGGCAAGTCTCAATGAGGATAATCCACACAGCCGACGGTAAAATACGTCTGCGCGCTGCAGCGCCGGTGCGTAAATGGTGGCTCTCCGCATCATCCACGTCTGAGCTGCACGTGAACTTGTTTAAAGACATCCCCGTTTCTCCCAGATGAAGGAGGGCCAACATGCAGAAGTTATCTGGTGCGCAAGGGACCTCCCCAAACGTTCTCGCCATATAAAAGCCAAGCTAAGCCATTTGTTTAGGCAGTAGGGAGTTTCTGCTAGGGTCTGGATTGGAGTTACACGCAGACCGGACCCTGCCCTGTATGAGTGGTGTCTGAGGAGGAAAAAGAGCATTCCCTTTACCACAAAGAATCTACATGTCTAATATTTAGACATGTTCAGCTTTGTGGATATTCGGTTAGCGCTTTTGCTCTGCGCAACTGTGCTTTTGGCAAGAGGTCAAGGCGAGGATGATAGTAAGTATCACTTTCAAACACTGATTTTGTCTTTTGGGGACTTTGGGACTCTCAGGATGCGGATGGTCCTCAGGGATGCTGCGTAGGCCGCTGGAACCGGCCGTGCTTGGCAGGATGTTTGACACCACCTGAAAGTTTGAGGCGTTTTCGCGGAGTTCTGGAAGCGAATAGGAATTAATAGGCTGGATTTTTTCATATCGTTTTCTCCTCTCACTGGCGTGCAGACACACGCCCAGTCCGTGTGCGTCCTTCTGCTGGAGTGCAAACCCAAAGGGAAACAGCTGCCGTGCCTCTGATGCGCAATAGAAATGAGAAACAAACGTTAATATTTTTTCCGAATGTTCTTTTTTAGTTTCATTCCGCTCTAAGACAAGAGTTTAACACAAACCAGAAAGCATTTTTTTCTGGGTGCCAGAACATAAAACACAGTGATTTCCAATAATGTTGCTTTGGATGAAAGTTAAACGGAAGTATTTACTGGGCTGTTTCAGCTGAAAAAGGACAATGGAAAAATAGCTGCAGGCTGACGTCGACATTGAAAAAGGCTCGTCTAGACGTAAATTAATCACCATCATTTTGAGGGTGCTGGAGGCCTTCTTTTGCAAAGCAAGAGTGCCGCCTTGTGGCTACTTTGAGAACTGCATCCCCAGACAAACCCTCTTCTCTGGCCCACAAACACCTGTGATGTCATCAGACTCTAAAAATGATAATTTTTTGTTTTAAAAGAAACTTTTCTTTTATCCAAGTCAAAATTAGTCACTATTGGTCATACTCATTATATAAGTTGCCAGACCTTTTTCATGACATCAATAAGTTCTCCATTGACCAGACTAATTATTTTCCATGATCCAAAACAAAGGAGTTTTTTTGAAATCTACTTGGAAACTTTTTTTGTTAGTTGAAACATGTAGTCAAAGTTTCCTTCACCAAACTCCGTTTGTGACATGAAGCAGGGCTGCAGCCAGGATGTGGGCCTGGGGGGCACTTACCCAAATCTGGTCCACCATAACTAATTAAAGGAAGCAGTTTAGAGCGTTTGTCATTGGCCATTAAACTGATCACATCAAATAGAGGAATAAAATAGTTTTTTTCCACTCTTTTTTCACATTTATGCATCTTAACAAAATTAGATCATTTTTATCTTTTTGAGGAAATTAAAATAAATCATTTAGACTCAAAAATGTGTAAACGTTGATTATTTTATTATATTCTTAATTAAGAAACACCTTATTAAAGACCTTTAGCAAAGCTTGAAAGGTTTATCATTAGATGTGAAGTAGAAATATACTGAAAATAAGAATTAAATACAGCTAAACATCTAGTTTATTAAGAGTTACACACTGGCCTTCAGACTTCATAATTTCCTCTTAGTGATAACTAAAATTACTCAACAGCCTTTTTGCTTTTCTCCTTAAATTAAACATTTGGTACATTTTCCTACAGTTTAGCAAACAATCGTGTGATTCACAAAAACGTACAACTTTAAAACCGTCGCCAAAGCTTACACAACGGAGTTACATCACCAAACCATTACTTGGATCATTTAGCTGTCATTTAAATGCACTCTTGCCTCCTGTTGACCCTCAAACTCATCACTCCTGTTTTTACAGGCTTATTAACTGAGTGCAAATCAGAGGGACAGGTGTACAATGACAAGGATGTATGGAAACCAGAACCCTGCCAGATCTGCCTGTGTGACAAAGGGTTTGTCTTGTGCGACGAGGTGATCTGCGAAGACACAACCGAGTGTGAAGACCCCTTCATTCCAGATGGAGAGTGCTGCCCTGTCTGCCCTGATGATAATGGTACATACTCCTCAGCAGCTTAGTGCTTCATTAGCCCTGCACCACCCTATACTTCCCACCTCTGACCTTGAGGCCACAAATGGACCTGAGGCCTTCCTGTTTGCTTTTGGACTGCCATGGATTACATTTTGACATCACCGTCATGCTTTCATAAGAGTCTTGCATGGATTTTATCTTTTTTTTGTTTGTTTTGTTTTTGTTTTCTTGGTGAATTTTGACAGTGAGTTTGTCACAGATTTAATCACTTTTATGCTGTTGCAAAGCATTCAGATCACTCTTTTCTCCTGTTTAAGGCTTGTGTTTTAAATAGCCTTTGATATGACGCATTTACTGCTTTCATTGAATTTAACCTTCAGCTGGAAGATTGACATTACCCTTTAAGCCTTCAGGTTTAATAAATCATGTCTGTTAGGTGTTAACCCTTCCTGTCGTATTGATTTTTAGGGCCTCAGTTCCCAGATGACAACACCGACACAGGCTCAGAGGTATTTTACCTTTTTCTTTTTATCTGATGTTGAGAAACAGCTTGAAAGTGAAATCCTGTCAGACTTCAGCTCTTTTTCTGACATGAAGATCTCACAATGACCTAACTCTATTTTGTAATCTGATCTTAGACAGTAAAGGGACCCACTGGCCCCAGAGGAGATCCGGTAGGTTCTGGTTTACTCACAGCTTCATTCATTGTTTTTGGTTTTCTGTAACATCTATGAAAACAAAAAGGTTTTAAAAACCTCGATCTGTAACAATATTTGTAGTATTTACAATCAGTAATTAATTACTGATTAGGAAACATCTTATTTCCAAACTAATATAAAGACGATTCCTCTGGGTTGTTTGGCATTTGTAACACGTTGTTTTATGTAGCTGGTAAATCTCATTAAAACAACATTTTCATTGCTTTGCACCCAATCGTTCAGTTTACATGATTATGTTTTTGCATGAAAGTTCTTGTTTGTGTCAACTAAAAATGTTATAATATCAATGGAAAGAACCTCCAGAAATAGAGTAAGAATACTTTATTGTCATCATGCAAATGCATGACAGGACGCCCCAGGTAGCTCTCAGCTCACAGGCACACATTTCTACAGAATAAGATAAAACAACAGTAAATATTGCTCTCTATTTTAAAAATAATGAGAATAAGGAGATAATAAACCAGACTGAGACACACGTGTGTGGATCCACCTGAATGCTGATAAAACTGCTGGGGTGTAACTTATGATGTTTTGTAATTGGTTAAGAAAGTCAATGAAAGTTGAAAAGTCAAACATTAGAGTGTAAACAACAACAATACGTCTCTAACATCACTTTGAGGTAAGAGATGAAAGCTATGCGTCACCTCTTTTTTGTGAAAGAAACAAAGAATCCTACATTTTAAAATCAGACTTTATTACATCAACATTGACGTCCTATAATGTGTTATGTTCATATTTTCTTCCTAAGTCTAATGAAATATTAGTGGTAAAAGATGATAACTGACAGTGTCTGACTCTTGCAGGGTCTTCCTGGTTACCCCGGCAACGATGGAATCCCTGGACAACCTGGCCTCCCCGGCCCTCCCGGTCCTCCTGGCCCCCCTGGCCTTGGCGGAGTGAGTACGCACCCAGGAAGTCACATGACCTGGCTCTGCTTCAAACAGAATTCACTTTACTCAACTCAGCAAAGCAGCGATTCTGTGGCGTGTTTGAGGCTTTAGTTGTGATTTTAGGCCAGAAAAACCTTCATGTATGTTTGTGTTTCAGCACTGAGAGAGCAAACAGCTCCCTGTTCCTCACGTCTCAGTCTGAGAAACACAGACATGTTCATACAGCTGGGTTCCTTTACCTGATAATGAAACGTAAAATAAACAAAACCGTTTGAACTCAATTTGCTTATTCGTATCCTGGTTGAAAACAATTATTTATACAGTTTAACTGAATAACAATAGTCTGAGAATAAATGCATGTGTCAGATGTTTACTTTGATATTTTTGAGCTGGGACATTAACTGAATCCTAATTCTCTCCCATCGCAGAACTTCTCTCCTCAAATGAGCTACGTCGACCACTCAAAGTCCAGCGGCCCCGCTGTTCCTGGCCCAATGGTACAAAGGCTCTCCCACCTCTAAATGTGCAAATATTTTCTAAACATGCTTAAATTCTTGGATTAATTAATGGCTTTTTCGTATCTATCTTCTTCAACAGGGCCCCATGGGTGCCCGTGGTCCCCCTGGACCTGCTGGATACTCTGTAGGTGTTTTTTTTTTATTGTTTACCTGACAGCTCAGATAAATCCATCCATATTGTCCAGATTCTTTTGTTATCACTAAAATGCATTTAAGAAGAGATGGAGATTATTGTTGTTATTTTTATTGTCCACCAGGGTCCTCAGGGAATGCCTGGTCCTGCTGGAGAGCCTGGTGAGCCTGGAGCTACTGTGAGTATAAATGTCATTAATTCCCTAACCATAATCTTAACCTGTTAGAAACAACGTAAAACAGCCTGTGGTCAGCAGTAGACAACACTGTTTATATCCTAAAGCTGAGCACCTTTCCTCACCCACAGTATCCTGTAAATATCCAGAGGTTTTTTTGAACCAGAGGTTTTGTTATTTATGTGTTTTTAGGGCCCCATGGGTCCTCGTGGTCCAGTTGGTCCTCCTGGAAAGAACGGAGATGATGTAAGTGATGCGTTCTCCGGAAGCATCCTTGGAAGAAGATTTTGTTCTGTCTGCTTTGTTCCCTTTCAGATACAAACTGCTTCTTCCAGTCAGTGATGTTTTGACTTTGTGTGTCTCTAAAGGGTGAACCTGGCAAGGCTGGACGCCCAGGTGAGCGCGGAGCTGCTGGCCCTCAGGTGAGTGATGCCCAGAGATGAGGACAGGGTCAGAAAAATCAAGTTTTTCCAAACCTTTCATATCTTCTTTGTTCCATCTTCAGGGTGCTCGTGGATTCCCTGGAACTCCAGGACTTCCTGGCTTGAAGGGACACAGAGTGAGTTTCAGTCTTCTTTTCTCTGACGCCCCCATGAACACATGCTGGATGCTAACATGGCTAACGCTGGATGCTAATGTTGTCTTCAGGGATTCAGCGGTCTGGATGGAGCCAAGGGAGACGCTGGACCTGCAGGTCCCAAGGTCAGATGGCTAAAAATAAGCCCCATAATGCATTTCTTCTCTTGGGCCATTCCATAGATTACAGCTATGCTTCTGTCTGCAGGGAGAACCCGGCTCCCCTGGTGAGAACGGCATCCCTGGAGCCTTGGTAGGTTTCCTTTACTGATCCACACATGTGGACATCATGTAATTCAATCGATCTGTTGACTCAGCATAAAAGAGCATGACTAACATTTGCTCTTCTTTTATTGACCATTCCAGGGTCTTCGTGGCCTTCCTGGTGAGAGAGGCCGCCCCGGACCTTCTGGCCCTGCTGTAAGCTCTCGACCTAATCACCGAAACACCTTGAAATGCTTAAAAGTCAAAGCTAAATTGCATTTGTGTGTTTATCTGTGTGATTATTATCATCTATATCTGATAAAGCTGTCTTCTCTTGCAGGGTGCTCGTGGTAACGATGGCAACACTGGTCCTGCTGGTCCTCCTGTGAGTATTTTTGATTCTTGCTAATATTATAATTATTATTATGTTAAAATGAAAATGTAATCTGTATTCATCATTTCCTGCATGGAGATCTTTTTATTTAAAATGCATTTTTCTGTCTAGAGCAAAGTTGTTCAATAGCAAAATGTCTCCCAACATTCAGGGACCCACTGGGCCTGCTGGGCCAGCTGGATTCCCAGGCAGTGCTGGTGCTAAGGTAGGGTATTCTTAACATTTACCAACAAAAATCTGCTGGATTACTGAGTTTATCAAAAACAAAACTGTGTTTTATGACTTTTTTACCTTCATAAGAAGATTGTCTTTGTTAGAACGGATAATGTAGGGTGAACAGGTTATTTTTCCTAACCTGAGGTCTGACTTCCCTTACTGAAATCTAGTAGTCTAGACACACGTTTTGAACTTTTCAGATCAACAATTAGAAAACTCTTAGAGGAGAACATTATATAATTCACACCTGATTGGCTGTCAGTCATCAGGGTGCCATTATCGGTCCTACCAGCCACTAGGTGGCGTCAGTCTCATCTGATGCCACATCTTTCCCTGTTTTATTAATCTTTAATTAATCTCCTGCTGCTGCTCACACCTGCCATGCAGACACACCTTCCTGTGTTGAATGGAAATAGAAAAACACGATTGTTGAGTTTTAATTGTTTGTTTCTTATTAATATTTTTCAACTTTTGATTATGCTCTTAATTTTTTGACCATCTGTACATTTATTTATTATATATTTGCACATAAGGCAGCCGCTACCTATGAAACATGTCACTTTTTAAACCAAGCTAAAATAAACTTGGATTAAATCAATTTTCTGGGCTAACTTACTCAACTTTTATTTTATTTTGTTTGCATTGAATCATTTTGTCTATAAGCAGGATTGGGGTTTATTTTATTGCATGTTATATTTTAATCCGTTTCAATTTCACACAACAGCGTAGGTGCAGATTTCTCTAACATGGTTGCTTTCCTCTCTCAGGGTGAGACTGGTCCTGCTGGAGGCCGTGGATCTGAGGGACCCCAGGGAGCCCGTGGTGAGCCTGGTAACCCAGGACCTGCTGGGCCTGCTGGAGCTGCTGTAAGAATATCCTGGTTTATTATGTTGTATAATCACTTTACTTTGCTTTCTTTCTTTATTTTCACCATTTTTGTCTATTTTCCGCCAGGGTGCTCCTGGAGCGGATGGTCAGCCTGGTGCTAAGGGCTCTAATGTAAGTATTTCACTTGTTTAGTTTATTTTTCCTCTTAAACAGTACAACAACTAAGTTGTTACATCCCGTTTCTACGTTCACCAGGGTGCTGCTGGTATTGCTGGTGCATCTGGTTTCCCCGGTGCTCGTGGTCCTGCTGGAGCTCAGGGAGGTGCTGGTGCTCCTGGTCCCAAGGGTAACAATGTGAGTAGTTAGTTTTAACATCAGCATCTCTTGTCTGCTTCTTAATAATTCAGAATAACATCCTGACTGAATCATGTGTTCATCTGCCCACAGGGTGATCCTGGTCCTTCAGGTCCTAAGGGAGAGGCTGGTGCCAAGGGTGAGCCTGTAAGTTTCACACTGAATCAATAGTTCAATACTATTTATTTGTCACTTTGGGGAAATAAGTCATGACATCATTATTTTGTTTGTTTTATTTCCAGGGTCCTGCTGGAATTCAAGGACTTCCTGGTCCCTCTGGTGAGGAGGGAAAGAGAGGACCCCGTGGAGAGCCTGGTGGTGCTGGACCCCGTGGACCCCCCGGAGAGCGTGTACGATACCTAACCTTGATCTTATCATCTCTCTTTAACAAAGAAAACAGCATACAAATAAATGTTTGGAGAAAACAACATGCTTGTCGTTGGTGACCTCCTGTGTGTCTGTTTTCAGGGTGCTCCTGGTGCTCGTGGTTTCCCTGGTGCTGATGGAGGTGCAGGTGGAAAGGTGAGTCATCCATCCAAATCAAAGCAGGGACATCTTTATGAAACTTCTGCTCACAGCAGGTCCTTAGAAAACGTTCTCCTGCTTTCTAACAGGGAGCCCCAGGTGAGCGTGGTGCTACTGGACCCACAGGATCTCAAGGAGCCACTGGCGAGTCTGGAAGCCCTGGTTCTCCTGGCGTTCCCGGATCCAAGGTGAGTTCCATGATAAACAGGATTGTCTGGGACATTTCTGTCTCATGACATACATTTATAGGGTTCATTTTGTTAAATCTCACACTTCCTTTGGTCTTCAGGGTGTGACTGGTAGCCCAGGAAGCCCTGGCCCTGATGGCAAAGTTGGACCTGGTGTAAGTTCTTCTACCTTCTAATAACTCAGCTTGATTTCACATGAAAAATGTATTATTTTCATAATTTCATCAAGATGTACAATGAAACTAAAGCCAGTCTCTTTAGGCAAGAGCGTGTGCAGATAAAGTAAAATCAAACGGAACTAAAAATGTTACCTTCAACCAGAAACTGGAATGAATGCTTCCTGGGAAATTTCAAAGGACATTTTTGTCTATTTGTATTTTTAATAAAGCCAAATATCTCAATTATCATGTGAAATCAGGCTAGTTTTAATTATTTTGTGTTTTTCTCTACAATCTTTAGGGTGCTCCTGGACAAGATGGCCGCCCTGGACCTCCTGGCCCAGCTGGATCCAGAGGTCAGCCTGGTATCATGGGATTCCCCGGTCCCAAGGGAACCGCTGTGAGTAACGACAGTCTCAGGCTGTTATTTTGATCATTCGTACCTCAAACACAGCGGAGCCTGTGATCTTCAGACTTAAGTCAAGTCCTGAGAGCCACTTGTCCTCATGAAACAAAGGCATTTGACCCGGGAACAAAACAAAAACACTTTTTCTGTTTTTGACAGGGTGATAGTGGTAAGCCTGGTGAGAGAGGACCTGCTGGTGCTGCTGGCTCTGTTGTAAGCACTAGCAATATTTGAAATAATAAAAACAACTCTTATAACTGAGAAATGTTCAAACTTCAAACTAACATCCGGATGGGAACCATTTGTTGCTTTCAGGGTGCTCCTGGTAAAGACGGTGATCTTGGTGCTCCTGGACCTTCTGGCCCTGCTGTAAGAGGCTCTCCTCCTTTATCTGATGATCATCAGAGGAAATAAACTGAATGTTTTTGTTCCATCATGGAGAAACTGAATCCCATTAAAGATTAATGTGATGTCTGGGTACAGGGACCTGCTGGAGAGAAGGGAGAACAGGGACCTGCTGGTGCTCCTGGATTCCAGGTGAGTTAAACACAACCACTGTACTGCCTTTTGCTTTATGTCCCACACATTTTAGACATCATTAGTAAAATTTGTTAAAATCTCTACTTGTAACCTTCGTTCAGGGTCTTCCTGGACCACAAGGAGCTACTGGTGAGACTGGAAAGCCTGGTGAGCAGGTATGATTCACAAATAAACTTAGAGCACCCACTCCATAATGAGAAAGTACACAGTTCAGACACAATACTAACTCCTCCTCCTGTTTAGGGTGTTCCCGGTGAAGCTGGACCTCCTGGACCAGCTGGAGCCAGAGTGAGTACCACCTCCACTTCTGAAGCACTCTGGTAAAATCATCTGATGGGGCAGATAAGTGACGTGTTTCCTTTGTTTCCTCCAGGGTGACAGAGGTTTCCCTGGTGAGCGCGGTGCTCCTGGCCAAGCTGGTCCAACTGGACCTCGTGGTGCTCCTGGACCTTCTGGTAACGATGGAGCCAAGGTACGGTTAAGAAAAAAGAACAAGTAGATATTAAATCACGTGTCTCAGCCAAGGAAATACTGAAAAAGTCATAAAATTACTTAAAAAAAAGATGTTTTCTAAAGGAAAGAAGCCTGATTTACTCTGATGCTAATAAAGTAAGGATCTGATTCACTCACGACTATTTAACAGTTCAACCGGATGCATGATGGGCCAAAATGGAGTAGAGGTTATGGGGAGGAACATGTAGCACTCGCTTGTTCAGTTACTGCTTTTCAAACAGACAAAATATATTAAATGATATGAAACTACATTTTGATTCAATGTTTTTAATGTGAAACGGCAGTTTAGTTCGCATTTGAGACAAATGTTGAGTTGAGCTGGCCTTTTAACATAATCTCAAATGTCATTCTAACAGATAAATGCATCACTTTTATTCTTCTCTCTCTCTTTATATGAATTTAAAAAAATCATAAAAATACAGTAAATGGGAAGAAATAATAGTATAGTATAGTATAGTATAGTATAGTATAGTATAGTATAGTATAGTATAGTATCATAGATTTTCCTCCTTTCATCATTTTACCATCAATACATTTCAGATGCAGCCTTGTTTTTCCAGTTTAAATGTAAAATTATAAAGTCATCTATTTATTTATTTATTTGTTTAACTAGGAACAGATGGAATACAGATTAGGACAGGACAAGTTACTAGCATGAAAGCACACTAACAGAATCTGTGCTTTTATCAAAACAAAAAGGACAAATTCTTTTAGTTTAAATCACAGCAGGTTGCTGATTTAGCCTGATTTGTTTTCCTGGGTTTCTATGATTAAAATAAACCTAAATTCTTTTAGTTTAACTTTGTGAAACGATAAACAAGACACGCAACTGCAGGACAGTAACACCATTAGTTCCATTTCATTACAAATGAAGCGATTATGTCATTGAAAACAAAAACCAGTCTTTTATCAGTCATTCTCACTAAACTCCTGCACCACATCCAGCTATTTATTATAAAAGGAAGGGCAGCTTTATTTATATGTGCTTTCCACAAGCAAGAAAAGGAAAATCAATGTGACGGCACGATTAAAACACGCAAATAAATGCCAAGCAAGTAAAATTCTGATTTAAGAATCATTTAAAGGCAAAGTAAAGGGTGGGCAGTTACAGTGCAGAGGGTGCAGCATAAGAAAAGTGACTAAACACAGTTTCATTAGTTATGTTCAGTTGATTAATGTATAAAAAAATATTTTCTTTACTTCACTTAAAGATATTCCCTGTAAGTGAGTGCAGTGTGTTGACCTGTGGAATAGAAAGTTCATTGATGTTCCACATCCAAATTAGTCCCTGCGTGGATCACTTGACCAAGTGTGTTTTGTGTTTTTGCAGGGAGAGCCTGGTGCCGCTGGTGCCCCTGGTGGTGTTGGACCAGCTGGTATGCAGGGGATGCCCGGTGAGCGTGGAGCTGGTGGTCTGCCAGGCGCCAAGGGTGAAAGAGTGAGTGTCATAACCTCAAGGGTGGCGTCAGTTGTTGTTAGAATTATTACATTCTATTTCCATCTCTTCAACAGAGGGTTACTATTTATTTTACATGGGTTCATCCGCTATAACCAGTGTCCTATAATAAACACCAACACATGGTCTTCACGCTGACAGCATTCAGTTACACAAAACACATCTTGATAATGTTTTGTCAGATTAAAGATGTTTGGTTTTTTGTGACCTTTGAAAAAGTTGGTGCTTAAATTCTAAGAAAATTATAAGCATTTAAAAATACGACATGATGTTATCCAACCAGCTGCACAGTGGCGCAGAGGCTAGCGCTGTAATTTGCAGCAAGAAGGTCCTGGGTTCAAATTCCAGCCTGGGGTCTTTCTGCATGGAGTTTGCATGCTCTCCCTGTGCATGCATGGGTTCTCTCCGGGCACTCCGGCTTCCTCCCACAGTCCAAAATCCTGACTGTCAGGTTGATTGGTCTCTCTAAATTGTCCTCAGGTGTGTGTGTGTGTGTGTGTGCTTGGTTTTTTTGTCCTGTCTGTCCCTATGTTGCCCTGTGATGGACTGGCAACCTGTCCAGGGTGTATCCCGCCTACTTACTCAGAGATTGCTGGAGACAGGCACCAGCCCCCGCGACCCTGAATGGACAAGCGGGTATAGACAGTGGCTGGATGGATGTTATTCAAACCATTGTTGGGTTTCTTTTGTGAGGATGTACGTTCTCTTTTGACTTTGCTCTATTTCAGGCATATCCAAAGTGTGGCCTGGCAGCCATTTGTGTCCCTCAGAGGGATTTTGCTGGTTGTTGGTGTAGATTGATGCTTTTAACATTTTTATGTTCGCATTTAGCAGTACAGACTCAAATACATATACTCACAGAATAAATTTTGAATGTTTTGAATAAAAGAAAAAAAAAGTCAATTTTAGTGGCCGGTGAGAACTTTAACTTGATGATTTTGACCCTCATCTTGAAAAGTTTGGACACCCTGCTCGACGTCCCTGACTTTAGATGTGACCCTGATTGTAGCTGTCTGAAGTAAGCAAGCATTGCTAAAATAATGAATATTTAAAATATACGTAACAGTATTACAACCCCAGTAATCTTACTATTTTACCAACTCACCTTTTAAGCAAAGGGAGAAATCTTCAAATTTCATCTGGTTAGTGGAGACACCTAACCCACCTTGTCTGCTGGTGGTGGTCGGCGGGACTGGTGGCCCCAGTGTTCAGCAGGCCTTGCCTCCGTCAGTGCGCCCCAGGGCCCCCACCAGCGTGCGAATGTGTGTGTGAATCTGTGTGTGACTGTGTGAATGACTGATTGTGTTGTGGAGCACCTTGGTGGGTTGTAGCACCCTAAGAAGATGCTATACAAATACAGGCCATCACCTCATAGCAGCCAGATGTGATCTCATCATTAACATTTTTTACAATTTCTTTGTGTTTAGGGAGATGGTGGTCCGAAGGGAGCTGATGGCGCCGCCGGCAAAGATGGCCTTCGTGGTATGAGTGGTCCTATTGGAGTTCCTGGACCTTCTGGTGCTCAGGGTGAGAAGGTAAGTTCTGGAGGCTGTTATCATTCAAACAGGTTCATGACTTCACCAGACTGAGTCTGTGTAACATTTTTTTTTATCAGAATACAGTAAAAAAAAAAACTAACAATATTTGGCCTTTAACCCTTTAACTGGCTGGTCATTCACTTGGTTAAGCACTTATTGGTCCCTTTGTCCAGTTGACGCTTGATCTGAACTTAAGTTAAAAAAAATACCCCCCCCACCACCACCACCACCACCACACACACACACACACAAAGAAAAAAATATGCAAACCAACAAAATCGAGAACTACAATATTTTGTTGCTCAACATTCTTACCTTACAATATGATAACCTTAAGGATAATGTCAGTAACACATTACATTATTCTTTTCAAACGTTACAGTATACACCTCATCACACCAAATGAATACAAAGTGACAAAACAAATCACTTTTGTCTGGAAGAGGACGTTTGCGCACTTTTCAACTACAGATGAGTGCAACTATCCATTAATTTGGGCCATTACTTGAGCTGAAATTGACATCTATTAGGTGTGGAACACTGAAAACCCATTTTTAATCATTATTACTGATTTTAATCAGTCACTTTGAGTTTTTCATGCAGGCTGAACATGAACATAGTCTCCCACACCAGTGTCTCCCAACCCTGGTCCTCAGGACTCACTGTCCTGCATGTTTTCCTTGTTGCCTGACTTATATGAATGAGTGATTAACAGGTTTCCGCAGCACTTGATGTCCTCCTGAGGAAGCAATGTAAATTTGTAAAATCAGGTGTGCTGAAGCAGAGACATGAAGAACATGCAGGAGGTAGGTGTAGGACCAGGGTTGGGAAACCTGTCACATTGCCACTTAACATTCATGGTGGATGTCAAGTTCCTTGTGTAGAGCACAATCCCCACTTGAAAGGGAATAATTAATCTGGAGAATAATTCACCAGACTTCACTCAACACTCTACAACTTCTCTTTCTCTGCTTCTTTTATTTATCCTTTTCAGGGCATTTTACAGAACACCAGAACATGAGTTTCTTTTCTTTGAGTGAATTAAAGTGTCAAACTTTATTCAATAAAGTTGTTGAAAGCAGGTGAAAACCTAGACACATACAAAAATATATTCTTAGAAATCCACTCATTTTTACAGGTTTGATATCAACCAGTGCATAATTAAACCATTAAAGAGTAATTTAATTTATAATGTAAAAGATTTAAGTGCGAACAAACACCAAACTAGTTATCCAATTATCTAATAAACACTGCATGTCGCGCGCTGTAATCTGCGGCACCACGCCTGAGCTGTGCCGTGCAAAACTCTCTGATCGTGATTACAGTTCACCCGTTTCAGAATGGCGTCTTACCGGCTGCCTCTCCAGAGTTTTAGACACCTTTCTCGCTTTAGCGAGTCCATGGAGGGTCGTAGAATCTGTCCTCCTCTTCACAACCCTCTGCCTCTCACCTGACGTGCTGCATGAAAACATCCTGGCACGCCCACTCTCACGGGATAATCAATACTGCGCCATTTTCTCACCCATTTTTGTGTTTACCTTATTTTTTTCTGCATTTTGTTACACACACACACACACACACACACACACACACACACACACACACACACACACACACACACACACACACACACACACACACACACACATTGCTCTTTAGACTTTTTTTCTTCTTATTTTCCTCATTTCAAAATTAAATATACACAAAAATCACCACCTTGACTTCACAGTGGATGGTTTCATGTTAGAAGCTAACCGTTAGCATTAGCAACTACACCACACGGCAGAACCCCTCCCTTTTTTTGATATTTGTTGACATCAATGTTGCAGATCAGTGGTAGAGGTGCATTACTGTTATCCAATCCAAGGAGAGATATCTCTAGAATGTAAATAAGACTCCAGATCCTGTCATCTGATGCTCAGCTGTGATGTGGCCCACATCTAAATCCTGGAAATGGTGCACATTTTTTACTCCTCGAGTACGACTTACAAGGCCTTCATTCCTGCTAGAGACTGCTGCAAATGCATTCATCAAACAAGCTTTCCACACCTTTAAATTAGCTTCTCAGGGTTTTATTTTACTGTTTACATTTTGTCTTCATACAATTTTTACTTTTACATGAAACTAATTTTAAACTAGAAAAGCTCTCTTTTTTATGGCAGATGAACTTGTGCACTGACTTGTTTTCTCCCCCTGGCCAGGGTGAAGCTGGTCCTGCTGGAATCGCTGGGCCCACTGGTCCTCGTGGAGCCCCAGTAAGTTATCACCCACACTAGAGACCAGATTACAATCCAGAAAACCATTTTATTGTTCATCAAGAAATAAAATGGAAGATTCAACTTTCAGTGTTTCATCATGAACACTAAATGTCACGGCTTGTTGAAATGACCCTACTCTTTACCCCAACAGGGTGAGCGTGGAGAAACTGGACCTGCTGGACCTGCTGGTTTTGCTGGGCCCCCTGTATGTAATCAGAACTGTAAACAATGATTGAAGATTAGAAGATTATGGATTAGAACTTAGTTTTATTTCTTGTTGTCTACTTTAAGGGTGCTGATGGTCAGCCTGGTGCCAAGGGAGAGTCTGGAGATTCTGGACCCAAGGGAGATGCTGGTCCTCCTGGACCTGCTGGACCTGTTGGAGCTCCTGGTCCTCAGGTTGGTTGGTTGTTCCAGATAAATAACATGTACCTCACAGAGAAAAGGGATAAAATGAAACTATAGTTACTGTTGAACTGACCTGAACTTTAAATGTTTTCGTGGACAGGGACCTGCTGGTCCTACTGGAGCCAAGGGAGCTCGTGGTGGTGTTGGAGCACCTGTGAGTAACAGCTTGAGATTATTTCATATCATAAGAAAAGAAGTGAAACAAATATGTGGTGATAAACATTTTGCTGACGCAACAGACAAGAATCCCAGTTTGTTTTCTGTTTTGTTTGTGTAAATGATGAGATGATGATGCATCCGTTCCCCCCCCCCCCCCCCCCCCCCCCTTCATTTTTTGGTTTGGTAACTCTTTACAATAAGGATCCCTTTATTAATGTTGCTTAGTATATTTTTAAGCATTAATAAATTATTAAATAAAGTGTTAACAACTGCTTAACTATGTAATGCACACAGATCCCATCCAACCCTTAATAGTTATCATTGTTTAGAACATTAATAAAAGGACCCCTTGCTTATTAATGCCTAATAAAGGGACCCTCATTGTAAGGCGTTACTTATTTTTCCAAACAAATGAAAAATTTAAAAAGTTTATTTAAGATATTGAGAACTCACACAGGCAAACAATACTTTAGTAAATGCTTTAAAAGCAACATTTGTCACATTTCTGCACCTTCCCGTGATGCACTTTAATGATTTTATTTTTCATCCTTTTTAGGGTGCTACTGGTTTCCCTGGAGCCACCGGCAGAGTTGGACCCCCTGGTCCTTCTGTGAGTGTCATAATAGCCACATCCATTACATGAGGACAGAGGGACCTGTGGGCTGTCTTGACCTCTGAGCTGTTTTCTTATTGTGAGTTTTTTTGATGCTGTCAGGGAGCTGCTGGACCACCTGGACCCGCCGGACCCGTTGGAAAGGATGGACCTAGAGGAAACCGTGGTGAGACTGGTCCTGCTGGTCGCCCTGGTGAGGCTGGTGCTGCTGGAGCCCCTGGACCTGCTGGTGAGAAGGGATCCCCTGGCTCTGATGGAGCCCCTGTAAGTGTTCAGTAAAACATTATTTTGTGAAAAATTATTTTAATGGTATAAACTGACCACTGTGTATCTTTGCGCAGGGTGCCCCAGGTATCCCTGGACCCCAAGGTATTGCTGGACAGCGTGGTATTGTAGGTCTCCCTGGACAGCGTGGAGAGCGTGGTCACTCTGGTCTTGCTGGAGGAGCTGTGAGTATTCTCTGAGATGTGTTTTCTAATTCCTTCTCAGAGCTTTTACCTTCATCCAGAGAACCAAACTATCTTGTTTTTCTGCAGGGCGAGCCTGGAAAGCAGGGTCCTTCTGGCCCCGTTGGTGAGCGTGGACCCCCTGGACCTGCTGGACCCCCTGGCCTGTCTGGTGCTCCTGGAGAGGCTGGTCGTGAGGTATCTGTTTCAGTTAGCTCATTGTAAGCCTAGCTCAACCATTCAGTGAGTCTTTACTGTGATGACTGACTATTTTCACTGCACCTCCACAGGGATCTCCTGGTCATGAGGGTGCCCCTGGTCGTGATGGAGCTCCTGGACCCAAGGTAATCCTTTATTACAGAACTGGTTTCATATTTGGACTGAAAAAAAAAAAAGTCAAAATGTAAAAGTCTCTTTCAGATGTTTCCAAAATTTGAGTTAGCTGTTTGGTACTGTCTCACTGGCTGTGTGCTTCTGTAGGGAGACCGTGGTGAGAGTGGCATGGCTGGACCCCCTGGACCTCCTGGTGCACCTGGTGCCCCCGGAGCCGTTGGCCCCTCTGGCAAGACTGGTGACCGTGGAGAGTCTGTGAGTCTCTTTTTGCTATGTACCTTCATCCAGTTTGGATAAAAATGATCCAATTTTATTTTGTAGATCTTTGTACCTTAACTTCTCTCTCTCTCCTTTAGGGTCCTGCTGGTCCTGCTGGTCCTGCTGGCATCGCTGGACCCCGTGGTCCAGCTGTACGTTCATTAATCCATAAAAACATCTCAGATGTTGTGTTTTGTGTAAACAAGTGACAGCACTTTTGTGTTTATTCAGGGTCCTGCTGGAGGTAAGGGAGACAGAGGAGAGACCGGTGAGGCTGGAGAGAGAGGCCACAAGGGACACAGAGGACTCAGTGGTCAGCCTGGTCTGCCTGGACCATCTGTGAGTCACCATGAAAACTTCGACAGATCTTACAACTGGTAGACAGTATCTTATAGTATTTGATGTTTGAATCTTCTGCCTGTAGGGACCTGCTGGAGAGAGAGGACCCGCTGGTGCTTCCGGACCAGCCGGACCAAGAGTAAGTACAACTATTGACAACATTACACATGAGTCAAACCTATCTAACTCAAAATTAACCAGTTAGTTGCTTTTTGCTTCTTAGGGACCATCTGGAAGCAACGGTTCCCCTGGTAAAGATGGTGTTAATGGAATGCCTGGACCCATTGGACCCCCTGGACCTCGTGGTCGCAATGGAGAGATGGGACCCGCTGTAGGTTACTCTCCTGAAACAACTCAACAGTTACAGTAGGTGTACAATATTTAAACTTGTGTTGTTCCAACACAGGGACCTCCTGGACCTCCCGGACCCGCTGGAGCTCCTGGTGCTCCCGGTGGTGGATTTGACTTCGTCAGCCCACCCTTGCAGGAGAAGGCTCCCGATCCTCTCCGTGGGGGTTACCGCGCTGATGATCCCAACATGATGCAAAATCGTGACATGGAGGTTGACACCACTCTGAAGACCTTGACTCAGAAGGTCGAGAAGATCCGCAGCCCTGATGGTTCAGAGAAGAGCCCCGCCCGCACATGCCGAGACCTGAAGATGTGCCACCCTGAGTGGAAGAGCGGTGAGTGTAGATTTGGTAGCATTTGTAGCCTGAGTGAGGGGTGAACTCTTTCTGAAACCCTTCAATGTTCCTTCGTTGCAGGCATGTACTGGGTTGATCCCAACCAGGGCTCTCCTCTGGACGCCATCAAGGTCCACTGCAACATGGAGACTGGTGAGACTTGCATCTACCCCAGCGAGTCCATCCCCATGAAGAACTGGTACCTCAGCAAGAACATCAGAGAGAAGAAGCACGTCTGGTTCAGCGAGTCCATGACTGGCGGATTCCAGGTGAGAGGGCAGTCTGAAAAACCTTAAACGCTACCAAAGTTGTACGAGGAAGAAATAACAACATGCTGTGTTTCCTTCCACCATGCAGTTACATTATGGCAGCAGCGAATCTGATCCCGAGGATGTCAGCATCCAGATTTCCTTCATGCGCCTGATGTCCAACCAGGCCTCACAGAACGTTACATATCACTGCAAGAACAGCATTGCCTACATGGATTCTGCAACCGGCAACCTGAAGAAGGCCCTGCTTCTTCAGGGCTCCAACGATGTCGAGATCAGAGCTGAGGGCAACAGCCGCTTCACATACAGTGTCAGCGAGGATGGCTGCACGGTACGTCTGCTCTTTGAATGTGTCTATGTACATTTCTAATTAGTTATATTTATAAAGAAATCTGATGAGTTTTTCTGGTTGTGTCTCTAGTCACACACTGGCACATGGGGCAAGACAGTCATCGACTACAAGACAACAAAAACATCCCGACTGCCCATCATTGACATTGCTCCTATGGATGTTGGTGCACCTGATCAGGAATTTGGCGTCGAAGTTGGCCCTGTTTGCTTCTTGTAAAAATGAAAGAAACATGGACATGACGTTGTTGTTTTTTTCTAGCAGTCATCTCTAAATCCTCTTTTTTCTATGCAAATCAAAACTCATTTGGCTGCCATTGGTCCACATGCTTAAAACCACTCTACGGAAGACAGGTGTTTGTGTTTTTTCCAATCGTGAGACGTTTTTGGGACTGCTACTTTAACCAAACCACAAGGACACTTTAAAAAGAATATTTTGTTTCCACTGGCAACAAGAAAATAATGTATACTTGTTCAAATTAATTCCCATGGATATTGCAACAAAAAAAGAAAGAAAATCAATGAAACAGGTGACTTTTGCCCATTTCAACCACTGCAGAAGGACATTGAAAACAACAAGTGATATGTACCATTTTTCTGGTGTTAAATAAATTGTAAAAAGTGTGAAGTGTCTTGTTGATCTAAATTTATTAAAGACAAAAAAATAACACCTGAACTTTGGTCAAACCCAAAAAAACCAATAATAACACAGCAAACAAACACGACTAGGGAGCTCAACTTCATTGCAATATAGATGGCTACCTCATCGTCACCCCCGGTCTCTTGAAAGAAAACATTTGCGGTACGCAAAAGGTTTTTTGGAGGGGAATTACAAAAGTTTAAAGGTGCTATTTCCAATTCAATGAGGTCCAGTTATCAGTATTTGATGGTCAACCCTCTCATGCTGTAATTCATGCCTCTCATGCCTGCAGAACTTTGGTGCTACTAAATTGACTCATTGTCGTGATGTCTATGCAGTGCAATTGTTTTCTTCTCAAGTGATGGTTCTGATAAAAGGTGATTGCTGCAGATGTAATGCATACCATCGTGTCTTTGTAGATACAAGCGCCCTACTCCAGAAGCCCACATGTTCATTGTTGACCCTTTTGCCCCTTTTGGAAAACTCCCAACAGAAAAAAGAAGCACACATCTCCCAGTTGTTTATGTTGTTTGTTGTTGTCTTTTCGCTAAATGTTTCTTAAAATACAAAAAAAAAATTGAAGCAGACCAACTTTCATGGTTTAAAAGAGAGATTCTGTACTTATTTTGTACATGTATAATAAATCAAGATGTTTTTAATTATTTTGGGTGCTGAAATAAAGCATGTGAAGTGGTCTACTCAGTGGCAGAGTTTTCACTGTTCTGTTTGACAACTGTTTTGGGTTTCACCAGCTGGAAATGTGTGTGTGTGTGTGTGTGTGTCACTTAGGCAGCAAGGCTGTTGGCAACAATAAATGTTCATAAGTTTGCAAAACAGTTGCTTTGAATACAGTTGTGTTAAGCAGCAGTGAAAACGAGGCCCATCGTTACGATTCCAGATTATTTTATCATTTTATTCATGCAAGACTGATTCAAGATGTTCAATGACAGGTAAGGGATCCTGCATGAGAATTCAGTTCGTTTTTATTTTTCTCAGGAGAGGACACTTTTTGTACCCACCTAATCTTGTCCAGGATCTCAGAGGGACTGAAGAGTCTCCCAGCAATCAGGTGAAGACACTACTTTTGCACAGAGATGTCTAAAGGCAACTGGGATCAGAACATGAGACCATCTTGCTGTAACCAGCTCTGGTGATCACTCTGTTAAAGTCTAATGACAAAACACGAGTGACCTCTTGTGGGAATTTTGTGCAACAACATAAACCAGGAAACAACGAAGAAGAAAAAACATTAACTTTTGATTTGTAACCAAGTTTTAAAAAAATAAACGGAATGAAGTGATTCTTAAATAATTCAACATTAATTCCATTGAAGAACTCTGAGCTACAATCTAACCATCCAGGATTTCAGACGACTTGTGAGAAGATGCAAGAGAAGTTAGTGGATTTAAATTTACTGTGGCAGAAAACATCATTTATATGTATATATATATATATATATATATATATATATATATATATATATATATATATATATATATATATATATATACATATTCTTCTATAATGCACCTGGCCACACTTTGTGTTTTTTCTTTACTCCTTCAAACAATCAAGATATTTGAGGATTACCTCACACGTGTCTTAATTTTTCAGCCGCAATCTGAGTATCTACAGTTTCACAGACAGTGAAATGTTTAAATGTCCAGCATTATGCTATTTTACACCTTCAGAGCCGAGATAGGCACAGCATGTGATAAAATATCGCCATTGATGCTATTGAGATGTTATTTATCATGAAATATAAGTTATGTTTGTGACCCATACATCTACCTGGGAATAAGGCGTAAAAAATATTTTTTACAATAAGAGTAAATATGGCAGAAACATGTTTCCCACTGTGCAAAAGAGAAACAGCATTAAGCCTTGGTTGAGATCAAATTAAAAAATTGTAGAAAAAAGTGATGAACATCATCAAATAAAAACAAATTCATGAACTGCATTTTATTTCAGCTTAGTCAGAAGAACGATAAAATATAACACCCCACTGCAAAACTAAAGCCAATAATGTAACAAAATGATTAATGCATCAAAACCATTTTATCCATTGTTGTTCACTTCCTGTAAATACAGAGTTGATGAGAATGATCCGAGTCATCAGTAATGGAGAAGCCAGGTTTACCTGGGCAGGGTGTCGCTGTAAGGATCCCTGAGGAAAGATAAGAAATAAATAAAGGATTTGCTCCAAGAAGACACAAAAAACATTAAACCACACAGAGCAGCTGACAATTTAATGGGCACAACTGAGACCAGTAACACATACCATAATCTATACGTTATTAATCGGGGAAAGTTATTATTTATTGTTTGTTTGTTGAGTTGATGGCAATGATAAAAAATGGACATATATTCACTGTTTACACATCTGTCTTGAAAACTCAAAATTTTTTAAATATTAATTGTTTTCATTTTTCTTTTAAATACTACATATTCACTGCATTGTTTCAAATTATATTGCCAAGTCCATAAATGCAATGTTTTCCTTTCTGTCAAAGAAGACACTGTATTTCTCCCCTAACTGTCCAATGACAGAAAACTGATATCAAGATGAAGCTACATGTTTATGTTAAGAAGCTTTAATTGAAAATGGTTATTGGCGCGGGGTTATGCCATAAGGCTTAGTCAATTTAAAGGCACACTTGGCAGTTTTGCTTGCTTTTAGCACCCCCTAGTGTTCGTTATTAAGTCTCTGTGGTTAGCACCTTATAACTGCTGAAATGTCTCCCCAGCCTTCATTAGTGTCTACAGTAGCAGTTACAGTAGCGGCTAAACCAACAACAGACTTCCTCGTCTGAGTCAAGATGGGTGACGGTGTGACAAAGATCTGTAAAGATTTTTTAATCCTACAGTTTCACCATCTCTTGCAGGAGATAGGTGTAGCAGACTATTTTCATGTTCACTTCATGAAAAACTGAGTGACTAGTTACATTCAAACTAAAATAAAAACTATATATAAAAAGTTTTTTTGCAATCAGCAACGCCTTTAAAAAATTAGGGTGTGGACATATTTTGGGAGTTTAGATAGGCAAGGTTGGGGGTGTGGCCAGGGGTGGGGCTAGGGACAGGAAGGTTATATCTATTATTTATTCATCTTAGATATTTAATGTTTCTTCATTTTTAGTGAACAGAGAAAAACACAATCAAACATTTGGCCAAGGATATTTATTTCCTACTGATTATTAATTTTAGTTTGTCGTCTACTCCAAATGTTTTTTTTTTTACATTTTAGTAACACATATGTTTTAGAGCTGTGGACATTTGCTCATTGAAATACTGTATAAAAGGCTAAATTCACCTGCCTCAGATGTAAGTGAGTGGCTAAATTATGAGAAACTTGAGACAGCCCCTTTCTGATATCTGACAAATAAAATACCACTCACCACATCCTGGAAGGGAGAATGTTGAACAAAACAACAAACAACAAAAGAGGGCAGTAGTTTTCCTTTACATATAATTGTAAATAAAGAACAAAACAAACAGCCACATGATTAACTCTGTAACCCAAAAACATGTCAGCAGAACGTTAATGGTGTGTTCTTACTGCTGGGCCATGATCAGAGGGATGCTGTCAGACTGCAGCGGCGAGGCCCTCTCTCCTGTACGGCTGTTGAACATAGGCAGCGTGGACAGGGGTGGGGAGGCACTGCGGTTGGCAGCCATGCTCCTCAGCTCCTCGGCGTTCCCGTGAATGGTGTGGTGGTGGTACAGCTGGATGCTGCAGCACAGAGCAACACATTTAGTGTTAGTGAACCGTTTTATCAGTTCCACTGCAGAGACAACTGAGACTGACTGATTTAAAATCCATCTGCAGGTGCTAGTTATGAGAATCAACCATCAAAAAGGAAGGAAAATGGACAGATCCTTGATTTTTGGAAATAAAATTGTGAATGAGAGATCTATGGGATGTTTACTTATGGAATTCAGGAAAAACATTGTGCATTTTAGATTTCAGAGTATTTTTGATATGGCAGCAATCTAAGTTAAATAAATGCAATAAAAGTGTGTTTCTGAAGGCTATTCTGATGTAAATAGTCAAATACAATTATTTCTATATAACTCTGAGAGAATATGATGAATATGAGCTACTTTCTGATTGTTATATTTATTTAATCTGATGTTAGCCTAGATCTGGACAAGTGGGGGAGTAGAGGGAGGTGGAGTGTACAGTCGGTAAAGACAGCTCTCTCTTGCCCTGCTTCCAACATGTCTCCATCTAAAAGGCTAGGTTATCCAGAGCTATCTCTGTAGTTATGCTGCTATAGGCATAGACTGCTGGAGGATACACTGACCACTTTCCACACTCGACTACTTTCTTCTACAATTTGCTCTTTAACTGTATTATTTCCTGCAATTTCAGCTGTTAACTTTATTTTTTCTCTAAGTATTTTTCTCCCTAGAAGAAGCTACATTTATGTTCTGCTGAGCTGTGGTGCCCTCATGGAGGGGGCCATCGGCTTGAACACTGTTGCTAACCACTTAAACATTCTCCCTCTCCTGATAATAACATTTTACTTTCTTTTACATTGGATGTGCTACTACTAGTTTACCCGTTTAATTATAGATTCACTAGGATAAATACAATAAAGTTTATCTCTCACCAAATAGAATATTTATTAAGAAATCACAATATAACTGTAGACACATTACTCTGTGTGTGTGTGCGTGTGCGTGTGCGTGTGCGTGTACGTGTGCGTGTGTGTGTGTGTGTGTGTGTGTGTGTGTGTGTGTGTGTGTGTGTGTGTGTGTGTGTGTGTGTGTGTGTGTGTGTGTGTGTCTGCTCTGTCTTCTCGATCCCCAGTGAGTCGTGGTGGATGGCTGCTTACACTGAGCCAGGATCCTCTGGAGGTTTCTTCCTGTTAAAAGGGAGTTTTCCTCTCCACTGTCACTATATGCTTGCTTAGTATGAGGATTGCATCAAGTCACTGACACTAGTCAGTGACTTGATGCAATTTGCTGGGTTCCTTATATAGGAAACTTTTTTTTCCGATTGGCTCAATGAACTGACCTGTATTGGAATGTTTTATTATGTGAAGTGCCTTGAGATGACTCTTGTCGTGATTTGGCGCTATATAAATAAACTTGAATTGAATTGAATTTAAAAACGTCAGAAACAAAATAAAGTGAGTTACAAAAGAAAAGCCAATAATAGGACGACAATACAGTATGATGGATATGTTTAAAAGAAACTATTTCAGTTGATTTGCTTGTCAGTAGGACCTAAATACTCTGTATAGTCTAACTCTTTATTTCTGATATTGACATAAACAGATACCAATCTTATTTTGGAAAAAAGCATCAGAGTTGGAAATGGTCAAAAGTCAGCCAAAATTTTTTAAATGTTGAAGACATTACAACAAAAGTGGCTCAAATCAAACTTAGTGTCAGTTATTTTATTAATTAGGCAGTTAACTTTGACTGGCTTAGTGTTTGGATTATTGACATATACATTTTACAAATTCAGTTGCGCTTTTCATGCTTTTGGTTAGAACTACAACCACAATTTAAGTTTAGTCTATTGACATTTGTATTATTTCAACCCCCCCCCCCCCCCCCACACACACACACACACACACATACATACGAGGATGAAAATAAACAAAAAAAAAGGTGAAAACATAAATAGGGACAAGTGTTATGATACAGAACCTTAATCCAAATGCTAGTTTAGTCAAAGTGTCAAGAAGCATCAGGAAAACATTCCATTTTACTCACTTGTTTGTTCTTGCATTCCGTTTTGCACTAAAAAGCAAAAATAAATAAATAAATAATAATAATAATAATAAAACAAAACAATATGGTAATTTATCAGATGAACAAAAATCTTCAAATGTTACATCATTATTTCTTTGTAGGACTCTTCTCAAATCAGAAGACCATCACATTATGGCACATTCATAAAGATACATACACTCCTTCACGCCTTCCAAACATGATGTACACCAGCAGCAGGCACAGAACGATGGTGAGGATCAGGGGCACGATTACTGTCACGATGTAGTCTGGGAAGAAGTCTCTGCTGGGGGGAGACTCTGGTGGGTCGAAGTCTTCACCAGCCTCTAATATCCCAGAACCCACTGTAGGAGCAGGTGGTGCTGGTTCCTTCTTGGTCAGGTCGAACTGCATGGAGAGACAGCAGGGATGTCAAAGAGCTGCTTCTGATTATTCTACCTAAGAGGCACGAACATGGAAGTGCAATACGACTACTTATGAAGACACAAACCCAAGAGCAGACCTCTGGTTATGACTGCAAGAATATAGAAATGTGTCGGCTAATAAAAACAATTTAATTCGGTGCTTTCAAGGTTCTCAAGTCAGCAAAAAAAATTGTTTAAAAGATTCCAGTAGTACATTTCTCAATTAACTACTTTTAAACATTTGGAAAAACAAACAAACAAAGCAACAATTAAATTAACATGAAGGACACAGACAGCATGCAAAGGTGGGCCCCAAATGGATATGGGCCAACCATACGGGTGCCAACAGGGTTTGTCCATGATTTCCATGATGGCCCCACAGAGGTTTGTCCACATAGTTTTTTGCCCACATGAAGTTTATCAGGCCTCACATGGGTTTTCAGAGGGGCCCAGATGGTACGACTCATGCATGAGCAAATCCCTGTGGGGCCACCATGGAAACTGCGGACAAACCCTGTTGACACCCTTTTCTGTTTCTTTTTGGGCTCACCAGTGCTGTCTTGCACCAGGTGATGCAGTTGCTGGGAATGTTGCAGAAGCTGCATCCTCCAGGCACTTTAACCTTGGCCTCTGCTTTACACTGCTTTTGGTGCTCCACTGTCAAGACCCTTTGCAGACACTTTGAGAAATACCTCTCCGACCCCACCTTCACATACACACTGATACATATCAGAGTTTTAAATAAACACACACTTAGAACTTAATGTGGCTCGAACTGCTCTGCTTACCCCTCAAAGTGCCCTGCAAGTGGGAGGGGAACTCTGCCCCCACGATCGAGGGCGTTAGTGATGTTGACGATTTCCAGGGCATTTGTGCTCCACAACTTCTGCAAATCTTGCTTTATCTCATCCTGAACACTAGAGGGCAGCACCTTTTCAACCTCCCTCAGTGGGATGAAGAACTCTGCCTGGTAGGGCAGCATCTTCTCTGTAAGGAACATGACTAGATTTATTATTGTTTTGTATTATTGCCTTCATTGTTCATAATTGTGTCAAACAATTATACCTGCAACAGCTTTGATCACAAGAGTATGTCTGGCTGTGTCATAACTGCGTTTGTTGATTGCATAGATCTGCCAGACACAAAGGTATATTTGTATTCATGTACAGTTTTTGTTGTTTAAGTTTTCCAAATGTTTACATACAAACAAAAACAAAATACCAAAATAACCCACCCCCCTTACAGCAATTTGTAAATTTTGTGATATTACACGTATGATTACGTATTTAATTGTGTCATTAAAATTAAATTTAGCTTAGACTATGAAACACTTTAAAATAAAATCTCTCATTACCTACTTTTTTATTTTTACATAACATGCCTGATCTTCCTGGTGTGTTTCATGAGAACTTCTCTTTACATTTGTAGACTTTTCTGTTAAATTTAAATTTGTTCTTCTGGGGATTTGTCTATGAATTAGTAAGAAAAAGGCAGAAGATTTGCACACCTTTCAGAGCTTTTTTCTCAATTGCCAGCTTACGACAGCAAAACTATACACTTTTGTTCTGAGCAAAATATAAATAGCACAGTATCTGTTTAAAGGCAGGAGTCTCAGAAAAGCTGAGAAGAATCTTCTCCAAACACAACATCCTGATAAACGTTAAACCCAACAACACCCTCAGACAGAAACTGGTCCATCCAAAAGACAAAACACCCAAACAGAAGCTCAGTGGCGTTGTTTATGCAGTCCGATGCAGTGAGGACTGTCCAGATCTTCACATTGGGGAAACTAAACAACAATTACACAAGCGCATGGCACAACACAGGAAAGCCACCTCTTTAGATAAAGACTCTGCTGTCCACTTGCACCTGAAGGACAAGGGCCACACTTTTGAAGATGGCAAAGTACACATTCTGGACAGAGAAGATAGATGGTTTGAGAGAGGAGCAAAGGAAGCTAGCTAAGTCAAATGAGGAGGCCTCAGGGTTCACATTTCCAGCTCTGAACCTATCTCCAAAAGAGTTTAAGTCTAGGTCACACCCTTCGGCATCTAATCAAAACAACCATTCTAACACAATAGAGGCTAATGACAAAAGTGACTCCTTGGTGTAGGGAGGAGGGGTATTCGGGTAGTTTCAGCTCAATAAGCAACTCTCCATATTCCAGTCAGAAAAGACAAAGCTCCTCGGATAAGAAGCAAAACGTCTTCAAGAAACCACTTGAACCTCTTTGGATTACCATGACCTGGATGACTGAGAACCATCACCAGCATACTTAAAAGTTGCTGAACTTGGTTTTTATGCGAGAACACGGTGTTTAGTTTATCATCACTTTCTGCCAAAAAGTGATTGAAAATTAAATGATCTTTTATGTGTGTACTGGTGTACTTGTTAGCAAAACATTAGTATTAACATAACATCTTAGGGTTCTATAGTCCCCCATGATGCTTTACAACACAGCCAGTCATTCACTTCTTACCCACACACAGGTGGTGATGAGCTACAATGTAGCCACAACTGCCCTGGGGAACACTAAAAGAGGTGAGGTTGACGTGCTCAGGCACCACCAGTTCCTCCAACCACCACCAGCAGGTAAGGAGGGTGAAGGATCTTGCCAAAGGGCACAACGGCAGTGACCAATTGAATGGGGCTTGAACCTGCAACCCTCAGGTTACAGGGTGAGCACCTAACACCTCAACCCAGCCAATCATGAGCGATGGGAGGGATTTGAATGAAACTCACAATAGTAATAACAGTATCCACCTGATTCAAGATGGCCACCAGAGCTGATGAAAATTGGCAAACACGAAAATGGTTACAACTTAGTTTTAAAGACGCTAATTCAAATCTGATGTGCTAAAGTCATTTACCACGCTTTTTAATACCAGATAACAGCACAATTTTGTTTAAAACTAGTCATTCATTTTTGGAGTCAACCAAATTCAAGATGGCTGCCACAAACATCAGTGCCTACAGCTCTCTGTCAGTTTGACAGACATTGATCATAACGTTGAAATTTAACACATACGCCACAGCTGTCATCAACACAAGATGATGTCAGTTTAAAACTGTGGCATTCCTCCAAGGAATGCTTGGCATTTACATAATAAGACAGACGAGGCTTTAATATTCAAGCAAAAAGCACCTCATGTTTTCCAGGTATTTTTATAATCTGTTTGAAACTACAGACGCATTTCACAGTTTTTACGTGTTTACTTCAAAGATATATTCCCTGTTTCTAACATTGGCTAAAAATAGCTGACGAGCCCAAACCTTTAGTTTCTACAGATTAGACAGTACATTTTGATGCCTGCCAAGCCAAATATTTCTCTTTGTCAATGCTGGCATAAAAACAAACTCAGACCTCAATTGTAGTTTTTCCTGGAGATGTTGGCATGCCATACAGGAAGCCATTATCCAAGGGGTGTCTTTGGACTAAACGCAGCCACTCTGGGAGGTCAGGGAAACCCTGCTTGTTGCATTTAAAAATCATGGGATCATCGTACAATTGCCCAGCTTAAAAAATAAAACAGAGAAAAACACAAAATTATTGAATTTACATTTTTTCCTTTGTATGAAGTACATTGATCAGTCTTACTGTAGAGTTTCAACAAAGGTTCGAAGTCATTCTGGAACGTTTCCCTCATCAGCTCGTAAGTAAAGAGTCTTCCCACAGGAATGGTAACTTTGATCTCTGCACTGGCCCCAAACAAACTAGCTGCAACAACTGGGCAGAGGGCAAGACGTACAGAAAAAATGTAAGTTTGTGTTTTAAAATCCATCAGACACTAGACACCGTGGACACGGAACAACACACCCTACTTCATGCTGTAATCTAACCAGCCTGGGTCACCTTCTAAGCTAATATCTGAGATAATGTTAGAGTAAACCCAGAAGGCCCGCTGGGGAATAGCTTCAGCTTTAAACTTGCCTGTGGAAAAAAAGATCCAGCTTCCGAAGCCTGCCATCTTGTTTGGGTCTGTGACTGACAGAAGCAACTGGAGTGGGGCTTGGTCGCACTAAAACACACCAGCACTATTTTTAACTGTTTACAACACCTGGAAGAGGGTCTGTCTGTCTGCTTGTGTCTGTAAGCAGAGAACTGTCTAAGTATTGGTCTGCTGTGTTATGTTTTTGCAATGGGGTGATAATTGTAATAATAATTAGAATGGGTAATGTGTTTGTAGCTCTGCTTCGGTCCTGTTCTCTATCATCTTTCTGTCACCTGGGTTTGGTTCTTGGCTTTGTGTTATTTCCACAGGGTTTGAGCTCTTATTTAAGTTGTTTTGCATTACTTCTCTTGTCTGCGTTACCAGTCTTTGCCACTAGATGTCCTCTGGTCTTGTCATTCTTTCTCCTGCCAGTGTCAACTTTTTGTTCATCTGTACTCACCAGCCATGACAGAAAAGATGTTCATAAAATAATTTGATATCAGTAACATCTGCAACAGTTTAATCTTATTAATGATGGCCTTCACAGCCAAGTGACCATAGAACACACCACAGTGGCTACAGCTCAGTTCACTTCACATAAATTGAGCTACAATTATGTGTTATGGTGTGTGTGTGTGTGTGTGGGGTGGGGGTGGGGGGTTGGGGGGTTGGGGGGGGGGGGGGGGGTCGATCACATCTGTGTGCCTAAAGCCTTTTTTTCATGCTTTGACCAACTTGATCATTTCTCAACATAATGTTTGGCATGAAATATGACAGGTGATGTGCATTACTTCAAGGAATGCACGCTTTTGACTTTGTTTAGTTTAAGGTCAATCATTTGGACCATGAGTTCTGCATTTGCTGTGGACTGTTATTTATGTTCACATTTTGTTTATAGGATATGAATCAATTTGAATTACATCAAAAAACCTTACTTTCAAAATATTCATTTAGAAACCACACCTACAGTCAAGCACCAGAAACACTGTCATGTGGCACTGTTTCTTACGACTGCTGCTCAGCCTGCAGCCTTGTCCTTCCGTCCTCACTTTCCCCTTTACTGATTACAGTCAAATGATTAAAAGAAAATCAGCTGAGTCAACATTCAAATACACTCTTATTTTCTATCAAAACCCCTTATTTTAAAAATATTAATCGGTGCATTGACATGGTAACCAAGAATGTGTGAGCAGCAGGTTCAAGACCAAATAAATAATCAGAAGGATTTTCCCCCTATTGTCAGTGATAATACTCAACATGTCTGTAAACCCAGATGCAGAATGCAGGAAGCAACAATGTGGTCTGCAAACGAACAGCAGTCCTGTTATTGGCCAAAGAGATCTGACTTAGTGAAATTCCTGCTGGGTCCTAATGCTAGTAGAAAGGGTGCATGTTAGTTTCACCTTTTAGCATTTATTATATGTTTCAAGCCTAGTTATAACCTGCAGTCAAAAGGCTCAGAATAATGCTTTTGCTTGTGTGCGTGTGTGTTCATCTTTTAGTCATGTTAACAAAATTGTTATTGCTTTGTATTGTTGGATTTCTACAACTGATAAACTTTTGAATGAAATCCAATTCAAGATGGCCACTGCAGCCAGCTGACTTTAGAAAATGGCTTTTCATAAAGTTGTTTTAGAAATATCAAGCAAATTGTTGTCATGGATATAGTTAAGAGCAATACGGAATACATGCACGAGTGCTCACTCAATTGCACAAGTTCATTTTGTTTCATATTTAAATGTTGAAGTAAATTCCATCTAATTCAAAATGGCTACCAATGCTTATAGCAAAAAAACTGAAATGATAGTAACTCTGACAATTTATTAAATGGTGCAATACTGGTTCATGCAGTTCTACCCAGAGAGATTCACAACAAATATGCAGAGCACTACTCAATGACAAACATAAACTTTCCCATAAACCCAATTCAAAAGGGCTATCCCAGTTAATCAAAAGTAGTAAATAAAAAATGGTCACTGGATTTTATTTGAGACAATAAGCTGTAAATGAATGTGTTAGAAGCTGTTTTTCATTCACATAAACAATGATATGGCATCTATTTATAGGGTGGTACACTGATAAAAGGGTCAGCCAAAAAAGTAGACTTCATGTAAAAATTTCATGTAATTTTTTGAATTAAGTCAATTAATGATCCACTTTTAATACAACCTTCTTATATTTATTTGACGTGTGTTTAACTTTTTTAATAAACAAGAGTTGTGATTTTATAAACTGTAGTTATATCTTAGATAGAAATATTAATTGGTGATTATTAGTGCCAATAATCTTCTTATTATTTTTTGGGTACATGCAGTTTCCTTTTTTTATTCTTTAGCCCAAATTAAGGGCATATGACACACTGGGGATTTGTGGCCCCCTAGTGAAGTCCTAAACTGTATGGTTTAAAGTTGTTTTTATTGCTGTTGTGTAAAATGTATGCTGTCTTAAATGTATGAGGACTACTCATAGAAAAAAGCCAATCCGGCGCATTTACACAAAGTCATTATGCATTGTCCTCTCCTACTAAACAAATAAACAAACACACTTGGCAATTCTGGCTTGCTTTTAGCACTCCTTGGTGTCTGTTTAATAAAACCAAAAGCGGAACATATCTCCAAGCTGTGCGTTTGTTTAACACCTTAATCTAACAGCTGAAATGTCTCCCCAGCCTTCATTAGTGTCTAGAGGAGTGATTCATCAACAAATCAGCTGAGTTCATGATCCAAAACATGCAGGAAACATGCTGGAAGCAGAGTGCAGCGCCAGATATGTATGTCCAACAGGTGACCCTGCCAGTCTGAAGTTGCAAGTGTGGTATTCTGGCCACAGTGGGGAAGTGGGGTCTGAGTGACATTTCATTAACCATGTAAAGGGTCACTTTTGCACAAACTGGCTCAAGAAAATTATTAAAAAACATGAAAAAGTTACATGCCTTTAACTAAACTTTAAAAACTCACCTGTTCAAGCTGGCTTTTGCATGACCTTCATCACCACCCTCTCCTTATTATGTTCTTATTCCTCCTTTCCTGGGATCCATTGATTTCTTTCTTTCCTATTCATTTTCTCTCTCCCTTTTCTTACATTTTTTTATTTTCTCCTTTTACACATATTTTTAATAATAAAAATTATTTTTATGCTTAATAGTTTTTTTCTGTTTTTGTGAAGAGCTTCGTAATTTTTATCTTGAGAGGTGCTGTATAAAAGATCTTCTTTGTTTAGGTTATTTGATTTTTGCTTAACGATTTTTGATATGGTTGAATGGTTTAGCTAGTGTTTACTAGGGCAATAATACTTTTTGAGTGTATTTCTAAAGACATGTCTGATTGGAGTTTGCTCATGGTTGGCAAACAGGCGGATGTCGGACGCGCACTATGACCCAGGAGATCCCACCTCCATGCAGCAGCCAGCCGTCGGCCGCTACCAGAGGACCAGAAATCTGCAGCTCCCGGAATGAAGAGATCAAAATGATGCTGCCTCTAAAAAGGGATTAAACGTAAGCAATCTGTCGTCAGTTTGCGGTAAATCCGCCGCTCATCTCTGTTCTAAATTTTATTTGCAATTATTTCTGCGTCTAACGCAGAAATCCAGCCAGGTTGGGTTTGCATGGACTGCTGCAAACGAGCTAATGACAGATGAATCGTGCTGACTTTCTCTGAGAATTGCAGCGGATGCAACGCAGGCCTTTGATGAGATCTGTTGTTTCTCACCCTCCTTCGGTCTAATCTGGTCTGGGCGCCACCTCACTGGGATCTGCTGCTGCGCGGGGACACGGATTTGCCAGAGGGAGTTGGGAAAAGGGAGACATGCCGTCGCTGAGCATCCGTTGCGACGCCTGACTGATCATGATGAAGACCGAATCCACGTCCAAGAGCACCGGCTCTGGCTCCACGCTCCGGAGCCCATCCCCGCACCGGAACGCGTATGAGGCGGGGATGCAGGCCCTGAAGCCCGTCAAAGACAATGCTGCGAACGGGGACCTGCAGGATGGCCCCCGGGGGCGCAGGTACGGCTCCAATGTGCACCGTATCAAAAACATGTTCCAGCAGATGCAGACCACATCCGCAGCCGACGGTGATGAAGAGGAAGGCACGAAGACCGCGGACAAATCGGTGCGTCTGTCCCTCCCCAGAGCCGGCAGCTTGAATGAGAACGTGGACCACAGTGCGCTTCTGAAACTCGGATCCACCGTGTCTGAACGAGTCAGCAAGTTCGACCCCAAATCTGAGAACGGCCACCAGCGGGCCTCCTCCCCCAGCTACTCCAAGCTGCAGGAGACCCGGCGCATCTTTGAGCAGCAGCAGCAGGAGAAACAGCAGCAGCAGCAGCAGCAGCAGCAGGAGAAGCTGGCCACCACCAGGGTCCTCCTGAAGGCAGAGAAGGCCCCAGGCTTCCCTGATGGGAGGTTAGACATGGTGTCCCGCTTTAATGGCAGCACAGAGTCACTGGACAGCCTGGACACCAGCGAGGCTGTGTCCCCTACGGTCAGCCAGCTCAGTGCCGTGTTTGAGCGAGCAGCTGAGCTCCGGAACAACCTCCATCGCCTCTCTTCTACACCACCACTCCCTTCCAGGGGGGTCAGCGCCAAGGTGGGGGTGTTGAACTCAAAGGCAATCACTAAAAGGGTCAGTGCCTTTGTATCAGGCAACCAAGAGGACGAGATAAGCAATCAGAGGGGCCAAGATTTGCCTCCACGAGGCCTTAGAGGAAGAGTGACTCCCCCATCTGAAAGCATTAATGGGAGCCAGAGCGTTGACCAGTCTGTCGGAACCATTGATCTCTCAAGTAATGTAGGAGAGCCCAGTGAACAGAGAGGAAAGACTTTTTCAGATGCTGGAGTTGAGGCCAAAGCAGGAGGGACACCTGAGGGTCAATCTGGGTTCAACGAACCTAACAGCACAACACTGCAAGGTGACATCCACGTGTCTGTGGAGAATGGAGGGACTGCTGCCGAGAAGAGCAGCTCTCCAAAGACTGATGAGAAGGATGCTAGGGAGGAGGAAGCAGACAGGACTCTGAAGGACGACCAGTCGGGCCGCGATTCTGTGGATATCAGTGCCTACAGCGCGGTGGGGTATGACTCTGGAGGAAGCCAGAAGGATGAGGAGGAGGATGAGGACGATGACCACTATGAGCCTGAGTCGAGCTGTGTGGAGATTGCTGGGCTGGATATGGAGGAAGACCCGCCTCCCTCGAGGAAGATTTGTTTCAGCACAGAACCAATCAAGGTGAGGAAACATGCAGCAGTAACAGACCTGCAGAAAAAAAGGTGCCATCTGCTCTTTGGAGGTAGTTTATTTAGCTTCATGTGCTGATTTATGTGCAGTAATCATCTTTAGGATTTAGAATTAGCTGAATTAGATTGAGTCTATCTTAATCACTGCCTTTGTCCTCTTTTTAAGTTCATCAAACAGATGCTGACATTTAGATTTTAGTGTTTTCAACATCAGGAATTTCACACCAATTTATTTAGTACGAGCAACGCCATTCAGAGAGATCTTGTCTCATCTCGGTGTGATAGTAGCAGCTGAACCCAATGACACCACGAGCAACAAAAACTGGCCTTTTGTTTTGGTCAGAGCTGGCGCCAGTGCTCGGCAGCCTCGCCTCTGTCAGTGCGCCCCAGGGCAGCTGTGGCTACATCGTAGCTCATCCCCACCAGTGTGTGAATGGGTGAATGACTGATTGTGTTGTAGAGCGCTTTTTTGGGGGGGGTTCCAGGACTCTAGAAAGCGCTTTATCAAATACCGGCCATTTTTAAAAATCAGCTTTGGTGTAAAGTGAAATGCTGTTTGTAACAATTTTATAAATCAAGCGGGGTGAATTTTGGCAAAGTTGGCAACTCGGCGAACAGCGAGAACTTCAGCTAACGTTTGTCAGCTAGTTAACACTTTACTTTTATAAATGCCGCTCTCTATGAACTCCCCTAGGTGTGCTACTTCTGCTGATAGCATTCCTTCTGATAAAGGAATGCTAATGATTGCAAACAACAACAAAACAATTTCAGGCTCTACTTTTCCCCTTTTTAGTACTTGTGTTGCTCACTGTTTACATGCTTGCCAACCAATATTGTGGACCCACGTGATTAGGTGACATAGGTGCAAAGGCCAATAGGGTTTTAGCACACACATCCAACTCAAAGTGACCAATTCTATTTTATAAAGAACAAGATTTACAGTTTCTCTGTGAATGAGGCTTTTAAAGAAAAGCTTGTTAGAAGTTTCCCCAAAAGCAGATGTGCTGTAGAGGTTTAATCATTGGAAGGTAACTTATCAAGAAAAGAAGAAATGTAGAATTTCGATTTTTCAAACAAAACAGGTTTAAAATCTGTAAAAGTCTTTAAGCCACGTGTCGTCATGTGCTCTTCGTGAAGGTCGGCTGTATTCTGCAGTTTACGTTTTTGTGACTGTGCTCATCAACAGCTCGTGCTGATGCATTTTGTCATCGTCGTCAGGAAGTAGGGAGGAGAGGTATTCATGGGCAGTTTCTGCTCATTGAGCAACAAATAGACAGCAACCGTTTAAAAGCTTGAAACCTCCCATATTCCAGGCAGAATTGACCAAGTTCCTCAGAGGAGAAGCAAAACGTCTAACCCTAACCAAAGACGTCCAGTTGCCTTCATTTGAACCCGTTTGGTTTATCAACAGCTCAGTTTTTATCATTGCCCATTTGTATAGCACTTGTCTAAAGGTTGGTTTATGCTTGACGTGTCCGCGAGGTCCGCACGGCTCCGCACGGAAAAGTTGCGTCATTTTGCGTCATTTTAACAACCACGCCCCTCCACCGCGCCTCCGCACGGCCCCGAATTTCCGCAACGCGCACCTCGGAAAATTTCTAACCACGCGGACGGACGGACGCGGAAAAACATGGCGGACCGGCAAGAACTAGTATGGCAGAGGTTCGTAAATACAGACATTTGTATGATTCAGCTCTCAGAGATCACCGTGATCAACATGTTGTTAATAATTCTTGGAGAGAAATAGCTCGCACTGTTGGAAAAGACGAGAACACTGTTAAAAATGCTGAAATGCCATGTTGTAAACAGTCATTTCTACTTCTACTATGGTGTAGTGTTGGATGCATACCGTAGAGCTCCATGCTGCCCCCTACAGTTAGGGAGAAAATTGGCTCACCGCAGAAACGAGCCGCACGAACCATAAACGCTGTGAGTTGTGAAGCGCGTTCCATCCGCGAGCCGCTTCACCGCGCGGAAAGTGAATGCGTCAAGCATAAACCAATGGTTCGTCAGAGACTCCAAAACCATTCGCGTACACAACAAGGTGATAAGCTACACTGTAGCTACAGCTGCCCTGGGGAACACAGACCCCACTGGTCCTTTTGACCACCACAAGCAGACAAGGACGATGACGTATTACCCAAGGACACGACTGACATGAAGCCTGGGTTGAAACTGGCAACCCAATAATTCCAGGTCGAACTCCTCACCCCTGGGCCGCTCTATGCCAGTGCCAAACTACCAATTGGAAAAACACAAAACAAACAAAGGAAGACAACCGCTGTGCAAGATACCTGTGTAAGTAAGGGGATTGTTGCTGTAAAATGTATCACTCAGGGACCACAATGATATAACGTTTGATCAACGTCTTAATGAGGGAATATTCAAATGTATTTGTGCTAGAATGAGCGGTTAACAAACCAGTGCAGTATCCCCACGTATTAGACTGAAGTGGAAAGCTGCAAACCTAAAGTTGAACCGATGGTGAGGCAGACCAAAACGTAGTATAAATATGAGTGTGTGGGCATGAATCACGATGATGCGCACCAATGCTTTTTAAAAGAAGAGCTTTTGCTGAATCACACAATAGTGTAGTACCATTCTAATGTGTGCTTCTAGATCGCCTAGCAGGAGGAGCATCCCTTACAACAGCCACAGGTAAAAATAGACACACAAGAGTCATTTTAACCCTATCACTCTAGCTGTGTTTATTTACTTATCGATGAACACTGTATGCTCTTCTTCAAAACTATTTATAATATATGACTTAAGGGGAAGATTTTTTTCTTTATAATGTGATAAAAAAGTAATCGGCTTTGGTTAACAAGCAAATTATTCTTTGACTCTGCAGCGGCCTCCTTGTGTACTGTATCAGTGTGGCCTTTTGTTATGGAGATGAATGCTGGGGTAGATGAGAGTCGGAGGGGGTGTGTGAGGTCAAATGGGAGGGGCCTAATTATGCAGCTCAAATGTCACACTGTCACTTCTCTCCCAAAACAGGATGTACCCATATTTAGTGCATATTTCTTCTATGAACAACAGTCCAGCTCTTAGCCCAAGCAGTTCAAATGTGGAGGGAGTTGAACGAGTCTGTCTTTGTCCCTGATTTCACACCGAACACTCCTCTCTGTCACAAAATCAGCGCTGCCTCGGGTGAATTTCACACCACACTCCTCTTCTCACTCTCACTCTCTTGCCTCATCTTTTACTCCTCCTTGCTCTTCGTCACCCGACTGCTGCCTGTAAAAATAGCAGCATTGTTATCGTCACAGACTCGCCTCGCTTTTGACGGCGGCCTCCTCCTTGTAGAGCACAGGAAGCTGCCTCTCATGTCTTATTTATTTGCTTCAATTTGTTTGTTTTGGCTTCATTCTTTCCCATCAAAACATTCGAGGGTTTGGATGTAGCCTCCTGGCAAGTTGTTGTTTTTAATTATTTATCCCATTTTGTAATATGAACTTGTTTTTTTTTTTTTTTTTTTAGAGATAATCTCCACTGGATTTGTACTGCATTCCCTCCAAGCTAGAAATAATCTGATTTATTTTTCATACACCAGAATCACCTTGCTCACTCATCACCTAGCCTGCTGCTCTTACACCTTTTCTGCCTTCGTCAACAACACACACACTCTTTTGTTCCTGGTTTCTGCTGCCTACACAGTTTTTAAAGCAATCCTTCCAGCAAATTCAACGAGCCCTTATCATCTCCCTTCATGCTATAATTACAAAATAATAACCTTTCCAACATTGGAATAAATTCACAGTGTTGAACGTTGACACAAATATTGAGAGAAATTGCATTTTTAAGGACTGCTGCCACAAACTGCAGAATACAAGAAATGCAATACTTAAATGCAAGTTTTGGTCATTTGTGGCCACACAGGTCAGCAGGTGAGGGTTTGCTGTTGGGGGGGGGATGCATCACCATATGCCCCAATATCCTTACACAGGCTCTTACTTTAAACTCAGTGGCCCTGCAGCATCACTCACAGCCAGGAGGGGTGGGAGATCAGACAGATTAGCAGCAAGGTCATGCTGTCCCACTTCTCGGTCCTGCAGTGGTGGGGAGCACACAGCTACTGGCTCAGGTTACTGCGACAGGCCACGCTTATGCCATGACTCACTCATGATGTCTGAGTGCTGCTGTGTCTCGCCCAGCCTGTCATCAACCTGTCAGGAAACAAAACACTGGTTACAGTCACACGTAGGGCTCGGACTGGACTGTCTGTGGTGGCACAACCAGCTTCTTTAGGTTTTACTGTCTCTGTCGCTGAGATTAAATGTAGTATTGGTTTACACATAAGAAGATTGTGTTTTCAGTTGTTGAATGCAATTAAAGAAATGACTAAAGCCAGAAATGACTTATAAGACGTCTCCGCACTCTTTGGCACAGTGCTAATCCTGATTAAGATTGCATTATTTCCAGAGACTGATGAATTTGTGTCTTCGGTTTGCTGCTAACAAAACTTAGATCTGATGTTTTTTTCAGGAGCAAAAGGAATATTTTAGATTTAAACCCTTTGATGTTTTGGACAAGCGTTTATAGAGCAAATTTTATTTAAAATATCTTATTGAAATTAACTGAAAGAAACCTCAAAAATCAGTTTACTATTATTTTTAGTGGTATTAATACTACTATTAGCATTATCATTGTTGTTGTTATTATTAATATATATATAGAAGCATTTTGCAGATGCCTTTAATTAAAGCCATTTACAACTGAACCTAACGTCTGATTTTTTTCTTACTACCCTATATTATTGACCCTCTGCACGTGACATCACACAGGTCACGGGACACCCCCCCCCCCCCCCTTACAGACAGAAAGACTGTTTACACACGTTTAAAGTCTATTGAGGCTCTAAACAAGCCGATTTGTAGCCATTTACCGCTTTTATTTAGTTGATTTCACAGTAAAATTGTAATACTTTGCTGTGCTAACAGACAAGGACGTAAACTCACTTGTCTTCTGTTTTTTAATAACTTTGATGGA